TTTTTTTTTTTTTTTTTTTTTTTCTTGCAAAGGGGAAGAATTAAAAGCCTAAAGCTTTACAAGAGTTCCAATAAGTTCAAAATAAATATAACTCATAGCCAACCTCACATGTCTACACTTAAAAGAGGGGGTAGCATTATACAAAGGGAAAAAACACCATAAATCCACAATACAGGGAAGATACTTGCAGGGTTCATAATCATATTTACCAGAAGTCATACTTGATTGGGAGGAAGAGAATCCGCTAATGCAGTGACTTTCAGCTCTAGTTCGGGTTTATTCGCCCCGACGAGCTTGTCGATTTGCTGTCCTTCTTTGAGGAAGAAAAAGGTTGGAGTAGCTTTGATATCCCAAGTGGTGCTGAAGTCCTGCAACACACCAAAGCAAATGCTGAGAAATGTAGCCCAAACAGGCTTAATCTATAGCTGATTATGAAGTGAACGGAGGGGTAGTGAATTAGACAAGCTTCATCTCACAATCCACCCTCCTTGTCTCACAATCCACCCTCCTTGGCTCGCTGGCACACAGCTCGGTGTCTGGCTCTAATACCAATTGTAACAGCTCAAGCCCACCGCTAGTAGATATTGTCCACTTTGGACCATTATGTATCGCACTTCACAGTTTTAAAACACGTCTACTAGGGAGATGTTTCTACACCCTTATAAGAAATGTTTCGTTCCCCTCTCCAACAGATGTGGGATCTCACAATCCACCCCTTTTGGGGACCCAACGTCCTCGCTGGCACACCGCCCAGTGTGTAACGACCCAAATCCACCGCTAGTAGATATTGTCCTCTTTGGGCTTTCCCTTTCCGGCTTTCCCTCAAGGCTTTAAAACGCGTTTGCTAGGGGAAGGTTTCCACACCCTTATAAAGGGTGATTTGTTCTCCTCCCCAACCAATGCGGGACAACATAATCCACCCCCCTTTGGGACCCAGCGTCCTCGCTGACACTCATTCCTTTCTCCAATCGATGTGGGACTACCACCAAATCCACCCCCTTTAGGACCCAGCGTCCTTACTGGCACACCGCCTCGTGTCTACCCCCTTCGGGGAACAGCAAGAAGGCTGACAAATCGTCCGATGACCGGCTCTGATACCATTTGTAAAGACCCAGATCCACATTCATTGTGATGTCCCACATTGATTGGGGAGGAGAACAAATCACCCTTTATAAGGGTATGGAAACCTTCCTCTAGCAGACGCGTTTTAAAGCCTTGAGGGGAAGCCCGAAAGAGGACAATATCTACTAGCAGTGAATTTGGGTCCTTACACAGTGTCTGACTTTGATACCATTTGTAACAGCCCAAGCCCACCGTTAGCAAATATTGTCTACTTTGGTCTGTTACGTATTGCGTCAGTCTCACGATTTTAAATGTGTCTACTAGGGAGATGCTTCCACACCCTTATAAGTAATGTCAGCCCCACGATTTTAAATGTGTCTACTAGGGAGATGCTTCCACACCCTTATAAGTAATGTTTTGTTCCACTTTCCAACCGATGTGGGATCTCACATATCTACTGGGCTGATGACAATTAGTATCTTACCAATTGAGCTATCTTCAGATTGACAACACCATACGAGAACAAGAAAGAAAATGAAAAAAGAGTTGAATAAATTCTTCCATAAATAATATTGTACTTCATTACTCACAGTTAATTCATCAACATCGACTACTAGGAACATCAACGACGGGTATTTCTCCGACAATTCGCTGTAGAATGGAGCAACCACCTTGCACGGACCACACCACGATGCACTGAAGTTCGCTATCACCTGTCGATGCATAATCTCGATTACGAAAGGATTAAACCCGTTTTGATAAGAGAATTTTCATTACCAAAGGCAGGGGAGGATCAAGCCCATCCCCCTTGCAAAGAACTGAGCAACAAAATAAGGACATGACATAAAATAGACTATCTATTATACTCTCTGAGTCGTTCCGTTTTTATCAGATAATTAAAGAAACGAACACGAACACGAACACGAACACGAACACGAACGGGCCTGATTTTATCTACGAGATAACATCCAGAAACAACAGCAGTGCTCAAAGGCAATAAATTAATCAAAATCTTACAATTTTGCCATCCTTATTAGCTTCTTCCATCTTTTGCTCCCAAGCTTCTTTGGTTGTGATGAGCTGCACATTTCCGGTGGCAAACTCGACATGATGCTCAGACTCATCGTCTTTGGTTTCGGACTAGAAACAAGGAACACAAAAACTTCCGAGTTAGATGAACGTTAACGAGCATAAAACAGGCAGTGCGCCGAAATCTCAGAAATGATCCTTTTTCGTAGTTTTTATTTTATAGGATCGTCAACACAAAATTACGAGGAGGAGCTGACGAACGCTCGGGTAGAATCGAAGTTTTGGGGCATTGCTGAAGTCAGTGTATAACTGTAGAAAATGTTGAATAGTACCCTTCTAGGGTGTAATGCTAATGATTATAAAGCACCGATCTTCAACAATATTTGTTGGCCAAGCACAGCCCAAGCCCACCTCTAGCAGATATTGTCTTCTTTGGACTTTCCTTTAAGGTTTTTAAAACACGTCTGCTAAGGAGAGATTTCCATACCCTTATAAAGAATGTTTCGTTCTCCTCCTCAACCGATGCGGGATCTCACAATCCACCCCCCTTCAGGACCCAGCGCCCTCACTGGCACTCGTTCCCTTCTCCAATCGATGTGGGACCCCCCCAATCCACCCCCTTCGAGGCCTAGAGTCCTTGTTGGCACACCGTCTCGTGTCCACCCCCCTTCAAGACTCAACCTCCTCACTGCACATCACCCCATGTCTAGCTTTGATACCATTTGTAACAGCCCAAGCCCACCGCTAGCAGATAGTGTCCTCTTTGGGCTTTCCCTTTCAAGCTTCCCCTTAAGGTTTTTAAAACACGTCTACTAGGGAGAGGTTTCCACACCCTTATAAAGAATGTTTCGTTCTCTTTTCCCACCGATGTGGGATCTCACATATCTAGTCCTCCTTTGAACCCCACAGAACCAGGCTCTAGCCAAATTCATTCCCCCGTTACTCATCAACGTTCTAACTCATAACTTCAGCCTGATCCATAATATTCTATTTAGGTATCACAATTGATTAAAAAAAAAGTTCCAGGTACAAACATCAATCCAACACGACAAACCACCACAAAGTCCCCTACTAACATTACTAGATTAAATGTTCCAAATGGCTCTTACCTTACTAGCACAAAGTCCCATTTGGCGGTCCAAGTGCGTATGATGTTCGAAGCGTCCTAGGTACCACAGGTTAGCCTGAAATAACGATAAGAAAATATCAGTATAACCATATGCTATCAAGGGAAGGAAACATAACATTTAATTCACAGACATGTTATAAATTCTGGGAAAAAGACACCAAACAAAGACTAGCTCCACTTTTATCACAGTGCTAAAACAACCTTAAAAGTTAAGAACGTTGACACAAACTGCAAAGTTCATCAACCAACAAACAAATAGATAAGGAGCCAATGACTGGATCATTCAAAAGAAAAAGGGCATTGGAGCAGAAAGGAATAGAACAGAATCATGAACATAATAGAATTGAAAAGGACACAGCTACCCATCTCATTAGATTCATAAACAAACCACTGAAAAACAATTAAAAAAGAGTAGAGCAGGAGGATCCCATTACAGAGACAGAAAAATTACCCTCAAGAACCCCCGAATTGGAGCCTCGAGTCAATTCAGTAGTCCGTGGAGGGATGATGACATCCAAAAATCGTGGAGAAAACAAAAAAAAACCAAACAGGGATTCGTGGATGAACCTTCTTCAGGATATTGATTTTAATGGGAAGCTGTCGGAAAAAGGGTCAAATCGGAGAGGGATAAGACAACGTCGGTCAACGACGATCGGATTGCTTGACGAATTGAAAATTTTGACGGATCTCTCTCTCTCTGAATTGGGAATCGAAATGGGCGAAAAAGGGAGTTTGCCCTAGATTTTGAAATTTGACCTTTCTTCAAGGTCCAAGGGTGTGTTGGGTCCGGTAAAAATGGAAACTTTAAAATTTCATATAAAAAACATGTCATGTCTTTGGTTGTTGTTTTCTTTAAAAGAAATAAAACAAAAATAAAACATTATTGTTGTCGTTTATGTTTTGTGATAGTTTTGTGCATACCTAAAAATGATTCTTTTTAATGTTATTATTGTTGTTAATGTACTGATCCCAATTAATAATGGACGGGTTTTTCTTTCGTGGCATCGTTTTCAGCATTTTCAAGTGTTTCGGTTGAACGGACACACTCACTAAAGGAAGTTTTCCATCTTGGACGAGACCTATTCTGCTAGTTTGGATTGGAAAAGAGTAGGCATTGATCCTCTCTTTTAACCCTCAAAGGGACGATTATCGGGAATAGCAAGATAATGAATGGTCGAGATCATAGAATAATGAATGGTCGAGAATCAATGTTGTCGGGCTAGTATAGCTTGAGGAGAAGATAGGTGGTTCGACTCCTCGAAGGGCTAAAACGGCTTGACAGAAAGGGAAAGAGTAGGGGCTGGAAAACGTGATTTGAAAGCACTAGAAAGAGGAAAGAAGACTGATTTCTGAAAAATAAGACCAATAAGTTCGTATAATGTTAAAAGTTTAGCCCATAATCTTTTAGATTTGTGTCTATAAAAAGTTATGTCGAACTTGTATTAGGAGTTGAGCAATCACAGATCAGGAGATTCATCAGTAAAATTTAGTTATGTCAATTACTCGACTCTACATTACATCAACGAAATTACACGATTGAGAATCTTGGTTATAGTTCTTGATGGGCTTAGCAATAAAGAACGTTTAAGTTTAATCCAACCATTTATATACTCACTCGTACTATAATAATAATAATAATTTTTTTTTTCAGGTAGAGCTCGAGTACCAACGGTGACATGAAATAGTTGATAAGCTTTGGAGTTTGATAGACCATAAAATTTTAGTAAATATATATTTTATAACATTTTTTTTTATAGAGAGAACAAAAAAAAAATACTGTTATTGAGCTATACTCATGTTAAAAAAATTTAATTTTCTTTCACTAATACTCGGCTCTAAGATTGACGTTAGATCCTTTCAATCACAATTGATTATTATTATAACTAACGAGAACAAAACAACACATCTTTCGGTGCACAAGAAAATATATGACTAAACTCAAAATTTACGATAATTAAATAATTAATTTAAAAAGAAATAAAACATAAAATTTTAAATTTTAGATCGAAATGAAATAACTAAACTCAAAATACAATGATAAATGTAATAATTAGAAACTTTAAGGACAAAATGAAAATCAAACTCGAACAACAACGAACAAACTCAAGAACGAAGAACGACGAACGAAGAACGTACCGTAGTACAGAAAATCCCAAAAAAAAATTGTAAAGAGAAAAAAATTGGACAATAATTGTTGTAAGGGATAAATAACTGCTTGAATGAAATTCCAACGAAGAGGAATGTTGAATCCAGTTAATTTGACAAAGTGCTTGAATCTTTCATTCATAAATTCCAGTGGCAAAGAGAAGAAAACCACAAGACTTGTTTGTTTCTTTGGTTTTAAGTACCTACACAGCCCAAATAACTGGAGAAACCACGAAATACAGAAGGATGGCAGGCCGAAGATACCGCCACCAGCGTCATCCATCACCGACACCAAGCTACGATACCGTCTCAACCCATTGCGTACTTCTGAGTCCAGCTCCGTGCGCTCGCTTCATACTTGGCTCGGTCGGTCTTGTACATGTGTGCAATCTCTGGTACAAGAGGGTCGTCTGGGTTTGGATCGGTCAGCAATGAGCATATGGAGAGCAGGACCTGTTTCATGAACATCGTTAGGTTTAGAATTTGGTTCGAAGTCGATATGAATGCGAGTTCGTTGCTGAAATGGGGTTTTGTTGAATGATCAAAAGGTTATAGTGAAGGTATATAACTTATTCTTTATTAGAATTGTGGGTAGAATGAGGGCTTCTACGTGTAGCATTCCATATAACGGTGTGAAAATCTCTCCCTAATAGACGCATTTTAAAGCCTTGAGAAGAAGCTTAAAGAGGACAATATCTACTAGCGGTGGGCTGGGCTGTTACAAATGGTATTAGAGTCAGATACCGAGCGGTGTGCCAACGAGAACGCTGGGCCCCTAAGGGGATGGATTGTGAGATCTCACATTGGTTGAAGAGAGGAACGAAACATTTCTTACAAGAGTGTGGAAGCCTCTCCCAAGTAGACTCATTTTAAAACCTTAAGCGAAGCCCAGAAGACAATATCTAATAGCGGTTGGCTTGGGCTGTTACAAATGGTATCAAAACCAAACACTAGGCGGTGTGCCAGAGTCCACGCTGGCCCCCCCGAGGGGATGGATTGTGAGATCTCACATCGGTTGGAGAGGGGAACAAAACCTTCCTTATAAAGATGTGAAAGACTCTCCCTAGTAGACGCGTTTTAAAACCTTGAGGGGAAGCGCAGAAAGAGCATAATATCTGCTAACAATAGGCTTGAGCGGTTAACGACACAATTACTTCCTTAACGCTTATTGGGGTAGAAACACAAGTTAACAACGGTTCGCTCGAATTAGTAGGGTGTAGACCATAAGTACAATGCAATGGGTAGGACTCAGAGACCCAACATACCAACAAACAAAAAAAGACCTCCCAATTCCATAGAGAAACCATGGCTCAAAGAAATGTTCATATTGTTTATGTGATCAAACAACAGACACCCAAGAAAACGAAAAGAACAAATTGAAATACGCCGTCCATCCGATGACGATTTTAAGCCATACAACCGAGGTCGTGAATTTTAAGCCATACGAATAGGGAACTTCAGACGAGTATGCATCGATGATACACATAACTTCACTAATGGCAGAAGCATATAGATCTCAAACACGACATTAAACAGCTATGTCTATGCAAACAACACAATCTCAATCCAGATTTAGAAACCAAACGAAAAGCCAAGGGTGAATTCAAGAAAACGCCAAACGAACCTTAGAAATCGTAAGCGCGGGGCTCCACTGTTCTTTAAGGATGTCGAGACAAATGCTTCCATTGCTATTGATATTTGGGTGAAACACTTTGGTCCTAAAAGCAACCTGAACAACAAAACACAATCATTAAACCTCGCGATCCTATTTACTCGAAAACAAGACAAGAAACATATAATCATATTACACAGATCATTAAAAGCAACAAACAGAAGACAAACATCATTCACCTTTGGAGGCTTGAAAGGATAATCTGGAGGGAAATGAATATTGACTAGAAAAACACCTCCTGAATAAGGACTATCAGATGGTCCCATAATGGTTGCTTGCCAATGGAACATGTCTTCAGCTACAGGACCTATCCTCAAAAGCAAAGACAAACAAAAAAAGAACAAAAAACAAAACATCCCAAGCTCAAAACTAGGAAAGAAAAAACATGTTCACATCAAGACAGGATCTAAACAAATTCATTCATTCATTCCTTCCTTCATTGAAATCAACTTTGAGATCCGACATCGTTTGGGGAGGAGAATTAAACACCCTTCATAAGGGGGTAGCAAACGCTTTTTAAAAACCTTGAGGGGAAGTCTGAAAGGAAAAACTCAAAGAGGACAATATCTGCTAGCGGTGGGCTTGAGCCGTTACAAATGGTATCAGAGCCAAACACCAGATGATGTGCCAACGAGAAGGTTGTTCCCCGAAAGGGATGGATTTGGTGGAGTCCCACATCGATTAGAGAAAAGAACGAGTATCAGCGAGGACGCTGGGCCCTAAAACGTGGATTGTGAGATCCCATATCGCTCGGGGAGGAGAACGAAACACCCTTCATAAGGGTGTGGAAACCTCCAAACCTCTCGCTAGCATACACGTTCTAAGAACCTCGAGGGAAAGCGTGAAAGGGAAAGTCTAAAGAGAACTATATCTGATATAGGTGGGCTTCAGCAGTTACATCAACACAACAAAAAGCAATAAAATCGGAAGAAAATAGTCAATATAGATCATCAAATAAAGAGATCAAAGCTTAGAACCATACCAGCGCTGCAAGATGTGGGCGGATCCTTCTGTAAATCCTTCAGTTCCTTCAAGATACGCTTCGAAGCCATGATCTACACATAAAATCGATTAGAAAACGAGATGATTCAAAGAATCCATCAAGCTAAGAACAGAGCAAACAAAGGGATATGCGATTAACAAAAAAAAACCAACAAAATCGGATGGAAATGATAGAAATACCTTGAGAAAACAAAAGGGTTTGCGATCGACAAGGGGATGAAGATCAGGATCGGCGGGAAAGAACTATGGAAAGGGAAATAAGCTCCGAATCAGATCGATGGCGGCCCCCAGAAACCGCTGCTTGTTCGTCGGTCTCTTTACCCTCTGATTTTTTGTGGAATTTGACAAACTTTAGAGACCGAAGAACTTTGCCAATCGCTAAGCAATGAAAGAAGACTTTAAATATTTATAGCGATCCCAAATCCTCCATTTCTTTTATCACCGCATTCTAATCTTATCCATTCCTCTTCTTTTTTTTTTTTTTTTTTTTTACTTCACATTCATGTTTAGGAATTTTTGTTATAAGAAATTTTTAGTCTTTACAATGAATTTGTTATCGAGTTCTCCTCGTAATGATTCATTAGTTCATTTCAAACCCTAAAACGCTAAATTTATTAAAAATGCAACCTTTATTTGAAAGAACGAATAATTTATTTTTCGTATCCACTATTGTCTGGACCCAAAAATTTTTTGATGTCTCTAAGCTAAGCTAATGTCACGTCTTTAAGCTCGACCCATCTGAGCAAAATTTGGACTAAACTTTTAGATTAGACGTATTTCAAAATCCTAACACAGACGTAACCAAATGTTTGACATATCTATATATCTTCTAAAGAGTCATGAAGTTAAGTCCGGTTGAAGATTTGTAATATAATATTCTGAAAAAATTATTTTTTTGCAACTTTATGTAATAAAGTCAACCCCATTGTGTAAAAAAGTCAACCTGTTTTTGTTGTGTTGGGAAGTTTTAAGTCAACCCTTGTAACATGATGATGTTCAACAGGAAACCTAGGACTCAAATTTGATAATTAATGATTAAAACTTTGAAATGGTTATTACAAGAGACAATACAGACAACCAATCATAGCCCAAAACAATAAGACCCTCCAAATATAAAAAAATTGCATCACACACACAATAACTTACTGTTAGATGAAGGTTTCGGGTTCTCGAGAACAGTGGATGCGTTGTGAACGATTACAAGGTCAGGTCGGAGTATTCAAGTCATCGTCTCCATCCCCATCCCCATCCCCATCCCCATCCCCGTCTCCGTCCTTGTTATCTTCTGATGATGGTCGAGTTCCCGAGTCAGATGGTCGGATTTCCTCGATCATCCTAACAACTTCCTCCATCGTTGGTCTCATATCTGGCACTCGTGACACACACGCCATTGCTATTTGGAGCATTTGAACCAGCTCTTCTTCAATGTTTTGATACTTCATTAGTTCTACATCAAATACCTCAGATGTCCATTCTTCTCTAACCACAGATTGGACCCATCTAGGAAGGTCCATCACATCGTCACGGCCAGGCGATTGGGATGGCGCTTTCCCAGTCAACATCTCGAGCAAAACAACCCCAAAACTGTAAATGTCTGACTTTTGAGTTGACTTTCGAGTCTCGATCACCTCTGGAGCACGATAACTTACGCTTCTAGTGGGAATGATTGGAGAGTTCATCAAAGGAGTCAAGCCAAAATCTGAAATACAACCATTCATGTCTTGTGTAAGAAGGATGTTAGAGGACTTTATGTTGCCATGGATCAATTTTCCCCCACTTGATGAATGGATATGTGCAAGGCCTTTGGCACACCCAAGTGAAACCTTCACTCGTGTTTCCCAGTCCGGTGGCCCTCTTCCACCATCTCGGCTTCCTGCGTAACGAGACACGAGCTGAATTATTTTTCGGTTCATCTTGAAGAAGCAAAAGATCCATAAAAGCAAGAAATAGGATGAGAGATTCAATAGAGCATACCATGGAGTAATGAGGAAAAGCTTCCAGCAATGGCGTGATCGTAAACTAAAAGCTTCTCGTCTTTCGAGTAGTAATAGGCACGGAGAGGCACGACGTTCGGATGCTGACCGATTCTCCCAACAATCTCCATTTGTTGATCAAAATCCTTCTTCCCAGCTACCACTTCCTTCAACCTCTTTACTACCACTGTAATTCCATCCTCCAAGATCGCCTTGTAAGTAGTCCCGTAACTCCCTTTTCCGAGTACTTCGGCGGAGGCCCTTAACAGGTCCTCGAGATCAAAGTTATACGAACACCCTTCAAAGAACACGAGCCTATTTTTCTCGGGCTCTTGTACCCCGCTTCCGAAATCCTCCTTTGGTTGCTCACTCCTTTTGCCCTTTCCTTTCGCAGCAACGGTACTAACTTCGCCATCCTTTTTCTTTATACGACAGACGACAATCAATATCGTGACGAGGAAGAGCAATGCAGAACCACCCAAGGCAATGGCAACGATGGCTCCAATGTTTATTCTCTTTTCGTTCTTTGGCCGAGTCGAAGAAGTGGGAGATGGAGAAGGTAAGGGAGCACCAAGTGAACAATTTTTCAGAGGTGAGCCACATAGCAGTGAGTTCCCTTCAAAGGAAGAAGGAGGAAATGATTGCAGTGAAGCGGGAATACGACCGCTAAGATGGTTGTAGCTCACGTTCAATAGTTTAAGCTTTAGGTGACCGATATCAGGAACGGATCCGGTCAGGGAGTTGTTTTGAACATTGAAGCTAGTGAGCTGCGTGAGATTTTGTATCGATGTCGGAATGCTTCCCGTGAGAGAGTTGAACGACAGATCGAGGAAGGTAAGGCTAGGAGACAGGGAAGAAGATATTTGACCAGAAAAGTTATTGTGTTGAAGATATATAAACTTTAGGGAGGGAAGGGATAGCACATCCGATGGAACGTTCCCATTAAGATTGTTAGATCGAAGACTCAAGGTTCTAAGAGCGCCTAACTTTCCAAGTGTATTGGCGGGTATCGGACCAAACAGTCCAACAGCAGGCAGCCTGAGAGCAAGCACATTAGAGAGGTTGGAAGTGCACGTGATGCCAACCCAAGCCGTGCAGACGGGGGTAGAGGGATCCCAGTTGATTTTTCGACCGTGGGGAACGGTCGAAATAAACTCGAGAAGAGCTTGCTTGTCTGAGTTTAGATCAGCCTCAATGAAGGAAAGTAAGAGTAAAAATGGTGCAAAAAGGGAATGTAGCCTCATGGAGGATTTCTAATGGAAGCCTATTGTGGTAGCAAGAAATCTGGGGGTAACCTCAACAAGTTCTATTCCCTGCAGAGTAATAACCATTATCAGGAATTTTTGCTATCAATTTCAAACCCGAAAACGATCGGAATCAGCGGAATCGTCTAGATGCAAAGAAAAAGAAGCAACGTTCTATCACAAGCATGGTTATATATAACAAATATGTGATCAAAACAATAACAGCCCAAGCCCACGTCTAGCCGATATTGTCCTTTTTGAGCTTTCGCTTTCGGGCTTCCCCTCGAGGTTTTTAAAACGTGTTTGCTAGGGAGAGGTTTCCACACCCTTATAAAGAATGTTTCGTTCTCCTCCCCAACCGATGTGGGATCATACAATCCACCCCCTTCAGAGCTCAATCTCCTCGCCGACACATCGCCCAGTGTCTGGCTTTAATACCATTTGTAATGGCCCAAGCCCACCGTTAGCAGATATTGTCCTCTTTGGTCTTTCCTTTTCAGGTTTTCCCTTAAGGTTTTTAAAACGTGTCTACTAGGGAGAGGTTTTCACACCCTTATAAAGAATGTCCTCTCCAACCGATGTGGGATCTTACACATCATCCTAAAATCAAAACAATCCTGAAAGTTCAAACTAAAAATGTGAAATGGGAACGAAGACAAGAAAACGAAAACAATAACTCTAAGACATAGCTAAATGGAGAAGAAGACGAACGACTCTAGATTTCTACTTACCCCGAGCCACTACCCTCATCATCATTTATACTCATATGCAGAATTAGACACTTATAACTTCAACATAAAACGTAAACTTCATCTTATAGACCTACGTGTTCGAAAACATGGAAATGATTACGTTATGACGACGGTAGCAACTCTACTTACCCAAAGTTACTACCCTCATCATCATCTATACTCACATAGAATTAGACACTTACAACTTCAACTCAAAACACTGCCATGAGCTCGAAAACATGAAAATGATTACGTTATGACGACAGTAGCAACTCAAGATAAGTAGAAATCTAGGTCGTTACATTACCCTTTTTCCAAAACAACATAAAATTCAGGCATGGAAGAACCAAAAAACCCAAACAATCCATTAATCTTTCACTCATTTTCAGTCACTACAGAAAGCATTACCTCAAATACTCCAAAACCCATTTCATAGATCTGAAAACCCAATTAGAAAACCACATAAACAAGCCAATCTACATTAGAAAACACAAAATCCAACAAGCAGACAAGGGGAAGAGACATAGAGAGAGAGGAAACCTAGAAGATGATGAACAGCATTGAACAAGAGCATTGTAGAGCAGCCAAATTGAGTGGAAATAAGAACAAAGAAATAGATAAAGAGAGAGATAGCGAGAGAAGCCGGACCTTTAACGGCATTGCTTGAAGAAGAAGACGCGATCGTAAGAAAGTAAATTAAAGTCAGACACCTACTGAGTGAGCCACGGTGGTTGGGGTTTGGTTCCATTGTTAATACCTTTCCTTCTCTTTCTTCTTTAAATTCCCTCTTTTAATTTTTCTTTCTTTTCTTTTTCCCCTTTTTGAGGTCTTCAGATTCTCTTCTACCCAACCGTTGAGCTCAAGCTTCACCGTGAAGCCACCACCGCCGCTGCCACCGCCTGTTCTGTTTCGCCACCGCATTTCCCTCACCTGAGTCGCCGCCCTGAATCGGTTTTCTTTTCTTCGTATTGGAATCTCTCGGCCAATTTTTTTAGCATACCCCAAAACCCCAAAAGGCAAAAGAAATTAATTTCTTTTTATTTTCTTTTGGGTTTTTTTATTTTTATTTTTTTATTTTATATGAATTAATTTGGAGTGGGGAAGAAAATTTTTACATATATTTTTAATTCACGTGAAGTTGAAAAAGAGAACGAAACATTCTTTATAACTATATAGAAACCTCTCTTTGGAAGAGGCGTTTTTTAGGTTAGTGGCGATACGTAACAGGCCAAAGCAGTCAATCACTAGACAATGTGAGGCACTGATCGGAGTAGGGATAGACCCTCTCCATAGAAGATGGATTTTAAAACCATGAGGTTGACAGAGATATGTAACAAGTCAAAGTAGACAACATCTACTGACAATGAGGTTGACAATGATATGTAAAGGGCCAAAGCGAACAATATCTACTAGTGGTGGGGTTCAACTCAATATCTACTAGTAGTGGGCTTCAACT